TCTGCTCTCCTTGTCGACTTTGTATCCAGAAGACTGCGTCTTCACATCCTTGAACAGTGTTGAGATGAAATCTATCTGGTTTTTGGTATTTCCTTCAGGCGAAATCCATGTTGCTGTGAGTATATCCTTGTGTTTGTACACACTGCCTCCGATCACCAGATCATTGAAAGCGCAGAATTCTGCGGATAATTCTCCGTTCTCATTCATTTCTCCCAGAGCCTCTCGATCGATGATGAGTTCTCTTCCTATATAATTTGCTCCCATTTCGGCTAGCATTCATATCGCCTGTGAGGATTTTTGTGCCAGCTTTCGGAATGTTGTCCATTACTGTTTGTAGTTGTCTGTAAAACTCTTCCTTCTTGTCTTGTTCCGCATTGTTTGTAGCACTGCCCGTAGCATTGGATAATTGTGACCTTCCTTTTGATTTGAATCTTGTTGTCATGATCTTGCTGGAGGAGATTGGTTCTTACTGTATTAGGGCTTTGGCTGCCACTGGTTACATCATGATAGCTATTGACTGACTCAGTGTGCTCGTAGTCGTCGTCTGGGTGACCGGAGTAGATTATTGACTCTCCAGTTGACAATTTTGACAATCCACATCCATTTCATCTGCTCTCGCAAATTCCCAGCACTTCTATACCTTATCTCCTCATTTCTTTGGCTAACTTGGCAGCCTTTCCAGCTTTGTAAAAATGTTAACTCAAGTAGTCATCGACAATTTTGGTCTGTATACAATCGCTGAGTTTCATTCTAAAAGGAATTGCTGATATGCAGTACTTAGAATGCTTATTTCTTACTAAGCTTCACTTGTTCATATGTGCGTACTGATGAAGAGTCCAGAACCAGGATGAGACACCTGTCCAGTCCACCCAGGTTCTCCAGTGGTTCTCTAACCGATGTCAGCTCATGATGAAATCCTGTGACCAGTCAAATCCCCGCAAACCAACACCTTGATAGTTAATCTAATGCTAACTAGCAACTGCCTGTATACAGAAAGTTACGTGGAGTTCTAGTGAGAAGCCGCAACCAGCGGAGTCCACCAAGTCAGGGAGGAGAACAGTTACTCGACCATGACATTGACTGGCGGTTGCGCTATAAACATCGTGAATTAGCAGAAGATGGAGTTCATGGACTGACCATCGGATCAGGCAGGTGTCCCAGTGGCTTTATGGCCTACAACCTCACCTTGTAACCAGTAGGTCCTAGGTTCGAAACCCCATGGGTGAGTACTGTTGAAGAGTCCAGAACTTGGATGAGACGCCAGTCCAGTACTCCTAGGTTCTTTAATGGTCCTCTAACTGATATCAATCCGTGACCAAAATTGATCACAAAGTTTATTATATTACTCTGCTCACGATTACTCCTACTAATACTACTACAAATTTCTCATAGAAACATGCCTAGATACGCACTTCACTTACATCCTCATACCTCGTTGACTGGTAGATACTATGCACTTTCACTCAATTCCATAACAGGCTATAGAAGAAACTACTATTTTTGGCACATTCAATAACTGCAACAATTATTCAGGCTAAGTGTAAGAGTAGAGTTTGGGTATCGTGGTAGAAAATAATCCAATATATCGGATGATTCGATCAGCAAAGATTCGGTGATTAAACTCTCCCTCCAGTTAACTATGTTATTATATTGCAGCATGTGCTACTAACAAGATTTATCAATAGTGTATAGATGCAGATTGATAGGAAGTAACAACATTTTGAAGCAATAGCTACAGAAATAGAAGTGTTTATTTCTCAAATCTGCAGCTCGCCTACGTTGTGGTCAGGAAACAACCTCAAGATTTAACCTCTAAAAAGCCAACAACTAATCAGAACAACCTACTGTCAGTAGACAACTTCACGTCCCAAAAGTTTGACCTTCAGAAAACTAACAACCAATCAGAATAGTTTATTATCCGTTGATCTAGTCGACCATAAATATAGCTAAAAACGTATAAATACGGTGAGTCTCACTAACAAAAAGGTCCCTTACCAAGTCTTATCCGGTTACAGATTCATAGTCGCGGACACTGACGAAAGCTATGGCCTTTTTGACCTTCCCTCACTAAAATCACTATGTGCATTTATAGTAAACGAAATCCTTAAACTTTGGAGGGAAATAAAAATAATAGCTAAGCAGATTGTGGGGAGTGGAAAGCGAAAAGGACATGAAATGAGAGTTGGTCAACTTACACTTGCTGTTCTTGATAGACTTGTTGGTCGATTAGATGCAGCCAACGATCGCATTGAATTATGTCTGCCAATGCTACTACCTACTGGTTTGTCTGTAAGCATATTATTGCCAGAATCTATTCCAGTATTTAATGATGGCGGCTTTAATCCACCCATGTCTCTATTCGGAGTTCTGTTCATTGTTCCAGTTGTTTTATTGTTAGCATCATCGATACCACGGCGAATATTGTTCATACTGTTGTTATTCGATGGACTAAGGAATACAGAATCATTTATATTACTAGTGTTTGTCTGTCTACAAAACACACCGGACTTTTCTCCATCTATTACTTGCTGTCGATGAACAAAAAGAAAGCAATAAGTAAATAAATAATTAGAATTGCCAATAATCCCATTAGTGTAAAGCAACATGAGATGGTGGTAAATGGCTTGCAGTAGGAACTAAAATGCACCTTTCGTCTGATCCGGAGCTCATCAGCAGGATAATGTGACTGTATTCGCAGTGAATGATAACACTTTCCCCTCTTTCCCCCCGCTGAGACTCGAACTTAGCATCCAACGTTTCAAGCACTACACTTAGTTTTTCACTAGGCCACTGTATGGGGAGGGACAGCAGTTATTAGCTGTTATTTGTTGTTTAACTTAGTTGTTGCATTTCCTGTGTTGATTGGTGACACTGGATCAGAGTGCTGAGTCTCTGTTGACATGTCGGCTTCTAGAGCAAAGTGATAGCAAACTCTGGTTCACCGTGTTAATCTTCAGATTCTGTTGGAGCGTCCATCGATAGTCATTGAGGATTTCAGTCTCATATAATCAATCAGTAGTCATGCCTCGGTGGTTCAGCGATACAATGCTTGCCAATCATTCCCACATGGTCCGGGCTTCGATTCCCAGACAGCGCACACATTTACCCCACCCCCGAACCCAGCTGTAAGCCCGACAAGGAGGGAAGCTTGAGAGGGCAAGGTTGACAAGCAACACCAACCCGTTAAAAAACCACTGCTACTGAGACTTCAAAGCTCCAGAAGCCTGAAGTTCTATGTTCCCCCATCCGAACGTAAAAGAATACAATAATTCAAAAATATATAATCAATAAATAATGGGGAATACAAATAATAACATCAGACATATTGATAAAATTTCGCATTGAAAAGAGAAAGAATGAACATGTTTGCAGGATAATACGAGCTCGTTTTATTTCGTGGATTCTCATCAACTGCATGCATCCTAAACAAAATCAAATTATAGGTTTCAAGAAAGTTGTGGAACATACTTTTTCATAAATACTTTGAGTCATAGATAGAAGGCATAAGGAACATAATTCCAGAATTTGATGTAGGTAGACAGGTTATTCGGTGTCAAAAAACAACTAATTATATATAGTGGAATTAGATAAGAGGGGTAAGAGTTCAGATTTCTATTGGAAAACAACACAGATTGGTTAGAGGCATATTACAGGGTCAGGGTCAGAGAACAGAGTGAATTTACACATCTTGTGGTGGAGAGTTTAAGAGGGTGGGGGTGAATAGTGAAGTAACATTTATAACTTAAACAGACAAACAATTGAGTAGATTTAGAAACTTGAAGGTCGAAATTGAATAGAATGTTACGTAGCAAGACAAACACACAGGCGTACTGACAGAAAGGCAAAACAAAAATAAAATAAAATAGAGTTAGGGTTACCAAGGTAGTGAAAGATTAATCACACTATCTTTCTGTATACAAAGGTCTGGTCGAAATCTCTTGATAGCAATGGCTTCTGCGAAGCGAAGTAGCCGTGGGTTTCTTTGTGTATTGATTATTTTGAAGGCTTGGCTGATTTCTATTGTGTGTCCTGTGTCAATTAGATGTCTGGCGATTGCACTTGATAACACTTTTCTTCCTTTTGTACGGAGACTCTTAGGAATGTGCTCAGAAAATCTAGTAGATGCTGTCCTCTCAGTCCTTCCTATGTACTTGCTTCCGCAGGTGCACGTGAATTGGTAAATGCAGTTGGAGTTGACGTGAGTAGGGTACTCATCTACTTTTGACTGGGTTAACGAGCACACAGTGTTGTGAAGTAGGATCAGTCTGGCGGCTGGAAACGTTCTTTTTAATGCACCTGTGATTCTTTTTTGTGTTCTTGTGGATACGTCTTTCCCTTTGTACGCTAGACAGATGAAAACTGGTTTCTTTTCAACGGTGTCGGGTTTCGGTTTGTGTACTTCTTCATTTCTATATTTTAATATGAACTTTCGAGGATATCCATTCTCGATAAGGTTCTTTTCGATGATCTCAAGTTCTTCTTCAATCTTGTCTTCTGAACATATTTCTTTGGCTCTGCTGAAGAGCGTTTTTACTAGACATCGTTTGTAACTGGTTGGACAAAAGCTATGATAATGTAGGTATTGACCAGTCCAAGTTTCTTTCCTGTAGACAGATTTTTGAATTGTCCCATCGTTTCTTCTTTTTATGTTGACATCTAGGAAATGGAATTGGTTGTTTCTTTCGTAGTCAATTGTGAATGCGATGTTGGGATGGGCCGCGTTGAGTTAGACTTCTCGTGTCAGACGACGTTTGTTCACTGTTTACCAGCATACCCATCGAAGAAACAGTAAAAATCATATGCCAGCAGTCCGAACTGCTCTCTCTTCCAGAAAATGAGCTACGCAAATTGTTATTTCTATGTACAAAGAATATTCAATTCCGATTCAACAATCAGCTGTACCGGCAGATTGACGGGGTGGCTATGGGTTCACCTCTGGGTCCTGTTCTTGCTGACATATTCATGGCTCATCTTGAACAGACTCAAATGAAAGAAGAAATAGAAAGAACCACCTATTACTGCAGATATGTCGACGACACGTTTGTGGTCTGCAATGATATAGAACACGCGTCCACAATGTTTGAGAAACTCAACGCGGCCCATCCCAACATCGCATTCACAATTGACTACGAAAGAAACAACCAATTCCATTTCCTAGATGTCAACATAAAAAGAAGAAACGATGGGACAATTCAAAAATCTGTCTACAGGAAAGAAACTTGGACTGGTCAATACCTACATTATCATAGCTTTTGTCCAACCAGTTACAAACGATGTCTAGTAAAAACGCTCTTCAGCAGAGCCAAAGAAATATGTTCAGAAGACAAGATTGAAGAAGAACTTGAGATCATCGAAAAGAACCTTATCGAGAATGGATATCCTCGAAAGTTCATATTAAAATATAGAAATGAAGAAGTACACAAACCGAAACCCGACACCGTTGAAAAGAAACCAGTTTTCATCTGTCTAGCGTACAAAGGGGAAGACGTATCCACAAGAACACAAAAAAGAATCACAGGTGCATTAAAAAGAACGTTTCCAGCCGCCAGACTGATCCTACTTCACAACACTGTGTGCTCGTTAACCCAGTCAAAAGTAGATGAGTACCCTACTCACGTCAACTCCAACTGCATTTACCAATTCACGTGCACCTGCGGAAGCAAGTACATAGGAAGGACTGAGAGGACAGCATCTACTAGATTTTCTGAGCACATTCCTAAGAGTCTCCGTACAAAAGGAAGAAAAGTGTTATCAAGTGCAATCGCCAGACATCTAATTGACACAGGACACACAATAGAAATCAGCCAAGCCTTCAAAATAATCAATACACAAAGAAACCCACGGCTACTTCGCTTCGCAGAAGCCATTGCTATCAAGAGATTTCGACCAGACCTTTGTATACAGAAAGATAGTGTGATTAATCTTTCACTACCTTGGTAACCCTAACTCTATTTTATTTTATTTTTGTTTTGCCTTTCTGTCAGTACGCCTGTGTGTTTGTCTTGCTACGTAACATTCTATTCAATTTCGACCTTCAAGTTTCTAAATCTACTCAATTGTTTGTCTGTTTAAGTTATAAATGTTACTTCACTATTCACCCCCACCCTCTTAAACTCTCCACCACAAGATGTGTAAATTCACTCTGTTCTCTGACCTTGACCCTGTAATATGCCTCTAACCAATCTGTGTTGTTTTCCAATAGAAATCTGAACTCTTACCCCTCTTATCTAATTCCACTATATATAATTAGTTGTTTTTTGACACCGAATAACCTGTCTACCTACATCAAATTCTGGAATTATGTTCCTTATGCCTTCTATCTATGACTCAAAGTATTTATGAAAAAGTATGTTCCACAACTTTCTTGAAACCTATAATTTGATTTTGTTTAGGATGCATGCAGTTGATGAGAATCCACGAAATAAAACGAGCTCGTATTATCCTGCAAACATGTTCATTCTTTCTCTTTTCAATGCGAAATTTTATCAATATGTCTGATGTTATTATTTGTATTCCCCATTATTTATTGATTATATATTTTTGAATTATTGTATTCTTTTACGTTCGGATGGGGGAACATAGAACTTCAGGCTTCTGGAGCTTTGAAGTCTCAGTAGCAGTGGTTTTTTTAACGGGTTGGTGTTGCTTGTCAACCTTGCCCTCTCAAGCTTCCCTCCTTGTCGGGCTTACAGCTGGGTTCGGGGGTGGGGTAAATGTGTGCGCTGTCTGGGAATCGAAGCCCGGACCATGTGGGAATGATTGGCAAGCATTGTATCGCTGAACCACCGAGGCATGACTACTGATTGATTATATGAGACTGAAATCCTCAATGACTATCGATGGACGCTCCAACAGAATCTGAAGATTAACACGGTGAACCAGAGTTTGCTATCACTTCGCTCTAGAAGCCGACATGTCAACAGAGACTCAGCACTCTGATCCAGTGTCACCAATCAACACAGGAAATGCAACAACTAAGTTAAACAACAAATAACAGCTAATAACTGCTGCCCCTCCCCATACAGTGGCCTAGTGAAAAACTAAGTGTAGTGCTTGAAACGTTGGATGCTAAGTTCGAGTCTCAGCGGGGGAAAAGAGGGGAAAGTGTTATCATTCACTGCGAATACAGTCACATTATCCTGCTGATGAGCTCCGGATCAGACGAAAGGTGCATTTTAGTTCCTACTGCAAGCCATTTACCACCATCTCATGTTGCTTTACACTAATGGGATTATTGGCAATTCTAATTATTTATTTACTTATTGCTTTCTTTTTGTTCATCGACAGCAAGTAATAGATGGAGAAAAGTCCGGTGTGTTTTGTAGACAGACAAACACTAGTAATATAAATGATTCTGTATTCCTTAGTCCATCGAATAACAACAGTATGAACAATATTCGCCGTGGTATCGATGATGCTAACAATAAAACAACTGGAACAATGAACAGAACTCCGAATAGAGACATGGGTGGATTAAAGCCGCCATCATTAAATACTGGAATAGATTCTGGCAATAATATGCTTACAGACAAACCAGTAGGTAGTAGCATTGGCAGACATAATTCAATGCGATCGTTGGCTGCATCTAATCGACCAACAAGTCTATCAAGAACAGCAAGTGTAAGTTGACCAACTCTCATTTCATGTCCTTTTCGCTTTCCACTCCCCACAATCTGCTTAGCTATTATTTTTATTTCCCTCCAAAGTTTAAGGATTTCGTTTACTATAAATGCACATAGTGATTTTAGTGAGGGAAGGTCAAAAAGGCCATAGCTTTCGTCAGTGTCCGCGACTATGAATCTGTAACCGGATAAGACTTGGTAAGGGACCTTTTTGTTAGTGAGACTCACCGTATTTATACGTTTTTAGCTATATTTATGGTCGACTAGATCAACGGATAATAAACTATTCTGATTGGTTGTTAGTTTTCTGAAGGTCAAACTTTTGGGACGTGAAGTTGTCTACTGACAGTAGGTTGTTCTGATTAGTTGTTGGCTTTTTAGAGGTTAAATCTTGAGGTTGTTTCCTGACCACAACGTAGGCGAGCTGCAGATTTGAGAAATAAACACTTCTATTTCTGTAGCTATTGCTTCAAAATGTTGTTACTTCCTATCAATCTGCATCTATACACTATTGATAAATCTTGTTAGTAGCACATGCTGCAATATAATAACATAGTTAA